CGGGGAGCGGCCGTGCGGGCTCGTGTGGGGGAACGGGGCACAGCACGGGTCACCGGAACGTGTATAGCACATACAGCACACGGAACCGTTGGCTGTGTACAGTTAGGACTGTTGCACATACTGGAGTATAGTAAAATGTTTACAGCCGACAGAGGTATTGCAACTTCTGAGCACACAGTCCACCCACAAGTATCTGAACACTGATGCTTTCATAGTTGTTTTCTTCTTAGAGAAGAAAACAGAGCATATATAACATGTAACAGCTATTAAGAAAACATAATATACATAACATATAACACATAACATATAGCACACTAACATACATATAACACATAGCACATGTAACACATACACATATATAACACACATAGCACATATAACACTTAACATTTAGCACACATAAATAACACATATAACACACATAGCACATATAACATGACACACAGTACATATAACACAAAATATCATCCCTGGGGAGCAGTTCTGTGTGTTGTGTTTGATCCCCCAGCAATGGGAGCTGAAGCAGTCTCGTGGTGCCTCAGTGCTGAGAGCAGCACGGTGGGATGCCCAGACCCTTATAAAAGATAAATATTTTGAGTTGTAAATGTGCGATGTGTGTGGGAGAAAAGGGGATGGAGGGGCATGAGGGTGCTTCAGCAGGAGCCCTCAGGTCCCCCAGCATGTCAGGGAACACAGGATGCTCCCTCTGGGAAGCCCTGTGCCCACACGGGGGGGTACTGTTTGATGTAGCTGTGTGTACAAAAGAATAAAGTGGCTGGCAGGATTTCCGAAAGCAACTAACTCTCCAGAATTAAATTTAGATGTAAGCTGTGATTTTTTCTCTCCTATATTTTTTCTTGCCCCTTTCCTCTCCGCTTCCATGGTTCATCTTAAGATTTAAAGAACTTGAGGGGGAAAAAAGTACTGCATTTTGTTAGGTTTGGGTTTTTTTATGGGAAAACAAGATGATCAGTACTCTGTAAAACTTGACAGCTTAAAGTAATCTTCAGCAGCGTTCTTGCTGACTACAGTTATTTATCCACACAGTGTTTATTAGGACTGTTGCACAAATTGGAGTATAATAAGAAAATGTTTACACCTGACAGGGGTATTGTAACTTCTGGGCACACAGTCCACCCACAAGTACCTGAACACTGATGCTTTCATTGTTGTTTTCTTCTTAGTGTTATCCCAGGGCAAAGCAATGAAAGTGATTTTCCCAGAGGGAGCAAATGAACTGTTTGGATGTCTGGGTTTGTTTCTGTTCATGTCTCTCTTTCTGACTGCAGAAACTGCTGCACAGGCCTGTGTGAGGAGACACCTGGTTGTTGGGAAGGGGGAACCAGGAGGGGACAGGGACAGTTTAGATATTTTTTTCTGCTGATAAAAATTCTAATGAGTGTGTGATCTCCAGAATGTGTCAGCTCTGTGCTCAGTGAACCTTCCAGGGGAGTTCCTCAGTGGGGACCACAGAGCACAGTTCTGTCCACATTACATCCCTTTTCCTTTCCACCACCTTGTGCTTGCTAGAAATTTACTTTTAACTCACTGATTACTCTTGTTTTCTGCTCCTGAGTGCTGTTTCTCATCTTCCATCCCAGAGAAATGATGGCACAAGATGGGATATCCTGGAAATAAATACAGGGCTTGGTGCTGGCAGGTCCTTGCTAAATCAGGAGCTGCTCACTCCATGTTGGATAATGGCTGCCTCTTCCTTCACAGGAAAACTTGCAGGTCCTTAAACACCATGTGCTAAATAATGTCTTGAGCCATCCTGCTTGGTTAAAGAGGCAGCATTTCTCTCCATGAGCAGCAATAGAAAGCTTTAAGGAATTAGTTTATATTTGCATGGAGGCAGCTGTGTGTAAAAACAAGACAGGAGACTCCTCCTCAAGGACAGAGATACATGAAATAACACAGAGAATCTCTTCTAAAAGCTGTTGTGTGTTAAAAGCTCATGCAGTGGTTCTGTGTTGCGTGTTTAGGACATTTGCATCGAGGCTTCCTTCCTTCTTCAGGGCTGTTTCCTGCTGCTGGTTGCTCATATTTTGGGTTCTGTTGTTCAACTCAATGTAAAGAAACTTTCCTGTTTCCTGCTGGTCCTTCCCTTAGGGGAAAGCAACAAGAAAAAAGATCACCTCTAGTTTCAAATCTAAAAATAATTTTCTGAAAGAAGCGGTGAGTGAACAAACTGTGCTCCCTGAGCAGGTGTTGGGCTCTGCCCCATCCTCGCTGCTGTGCTGGAGCTCAGCCCTGCAGCCCCCTGGTCACTGTGGCCCCTGAAGGCTCTGAGGAAGAGCAGCAGGGACCAGCAGAGTCCCCACATGGTGCTGCTGCCTGAAACAGGGCAGGAGATTTCCTTCGGACAGGGGCAGGTACAAATAATGAACAAACTCCTTTACAAGGAGGTGTGGGCTGTGCTTCCTGAGCAGTTTAAGCTCTGTCTTTACTTTCCCCCTGCTCCTCCTGTTCGAGATGTGCTAGGCTTCAGAAGTTCATTGTCACCAGCCCCTTTATTGTGTCGAGCAGAGGAGGAAGTTCAAACCTCACCTCTGTGCATTCAAGCAGTTTATGTTGGCATCTCGGACACCTGAGGCCCTGTGGGCAAAGACAAGGAGATAAATGCATCTTTGTGCAGGTTGGTGTCACGTGTGGGGGAAGCTGCACCCTGTGAACTCCTGCAGAGGTGATGATGATGATGATGGTGATGAGGAACATTCCCACTCCCAGTGAGGGGCTGGGGTGACTCTCTCTGGAGGAGCCTGGCCCCACAGCCAGGGGCAGTGGGCACTGGGATGTCCCTATGGAATGTTCTGGAGCACATTGTCTGTGGGGTGAGTGCCAGTCCAGCCTTCCCTGCCTGCTCCCCTTTGCCCTGGCTGTGCCTTTACCTGGGTGGGGCCCAGCTGAGCCTGTTTAGTGCCCTGGTAGGTTTGTGCCTCGTCAGCACTGGATTAGCAACCCGAGTTTTGCAGAGGTTGTGGGGCTGTTGGTCCTGAAAGGCTGCGTGGCTCAGAGAGACAGAGTTTATGAAGATTTTATAATTTTAATAGAATATTTAACTAATAGAATATGTAATCAGTAAACTGTTTAATCAACTTTATTTTTAACAAATTTTACTTTGAAAGAAAAAAGTGTTTTACTGATGTCCCATTTGCAAGATGTTTTATTTTTCAAGAACCTTTTAAAAGAACAGACAGTATGTGGTGGATCTTCATTGGATCGCTTGAGGTGCTCATCTTAAAAAAACAAGTTTGTTCCTAGGAAGATCTTGTTGAAGAACAAGAAACACATTTCCATAGTCATTTTAATTTGAAGGCTTTTAAAAAATAGAATTCTAATTCTGCTTATTCAGAGAAAATCCAGAAAATGCATTCCAGAGCTGGTGTCAGCCCTGCTGGATT